TCGTCCGATATCAGAACGTGTTCAATTATTTCAGATTGAAAAAAGACAATTATGAACACAAAAATTATAGGAACTATGGTTACTTGTCAGTGAAAATGGGCTCCATCTCTTATGCAAATTTACCTTTGAGTTATGAAAACATCCTTGGTGTGAGTGGCACGCTTATGACTCTAAATGAATCTGAAAGAAACGCAATAATTAAGTATGGAATTCAGACCATGCCTGCAATGCCATCTTTCTACGGAGAGCGAAAACTTATTTTCGAACCCTCGAAAGATGTTTTTATTCTGGACACGCAAGACAGTTGGCTTTCTTTCATATTCGATGTTGTAAAAAATGTTCACCTTAATCGCGCCGTCTTAGTTTTCGTCGAAACCGATATCGAAATGCAATTATTCGCTGAGAAATGTAAAAATAATATCAACCGCCTACACACACTAACTGGAAATGAAGATTCTGAAGCAATGGAATGGCGTGCAAACGAGGCAGGTATTGCACACAATGTGACCCTCGCCACCAAAACCATGGGTCGGGGAATCGACTACAAGTCAAACGACCGCAGTTTGGAAGAAAAGGGAGGTATTCATGTCATTCAGACGTTCTTTTCTTTGGATGAAAAAGTAGAGATTCAGATCAAAGGCAGAACAGCGCGGAAAGACAATAAAGGTACTTACCAATTGATCTTATGCAGGGAGCATTTGAAAAGTTTGAATTGTTCAGAAACCGATGCTGGTAGACCAATTAACACTTACGCCGAGCTGTGTGATGCCAGAAAGAAAATAGCCAGTGATATTGGCAATGTTGTTGAAGAGCGCATTGAAAGATCCGGAAAGAAACACAAAATGACTATGCAATATTTTGAATCCCTTGCTAATTATGCACCAAAAAAAACGAAGCGCAATTTTATCTAAATATCCCTTTGTAGAGCATAATTAATTTATTGTTATAATCATTATTAAATGTAACAATATCATATGTCCAATGTTTAGAATATAATTGTCATGCTACTCATGTTTTTAAAATTAATAACCAGACTAGTAGGTCAGATAATTTTACAATGCTTATTTCCCTTGTTATTTTCAATTATTTATTTACATTATTATTTATTAAGTTACATGAATTAAGTTATTATGTAAATTGAGATAAATATTGGGTATATAATTTATTTTCATTTCTTTTTCAAGTTTTAATTTGATCAAATCTGTTCAATTCTGATTTGATCTGTTATTATAGTTGATAAAGTCCGAATTGTTGTCATTGTCCTTTAGATTTGCATTACTACTTGTACTTTTATTATGCATACAATTTAAATGCTTGCAATTATTAATATTATTTTGATTATTATTATTCCATGAAATTTATAAAGGAAAAAAAAACAGTTTTAATGGCAAATAAAATGTTTGATTAAAATATTTCTCTTCTCTTTCAGAAATTTAGGTATTGGTTAAGTTCTGAGTTACAATTTGAAGGAAGTTTTAAATGTCTAGCAACAATTTTACCATGGCCCCAGTTGGGCTCAAAATTATCTCAATAACGGACCAATATCGGGACGTGTAAGTCCTGGAATGGCTTTTAACATTGGATAATAACTATATAGGGCCGATATTGGTTGAAAAGTGACTGCAAAATATTGGGTGAAATGGACAATTCTATATAGAGCCGATATTGGCTGAATAATGGATATGAAATATTATGTTAATCTAACAGTTCTATATAGGGTCAACATTGGATCTTTTTACCTTTATTAAGTCAAGATTAATGAATATTAGTTCAACGAGAACCCAAGTTATTTTGCTGCTAGAGATGTTTTTATGTTTTCAGCCAAACCTAAGAGTAACGCAATTAACAACATTTAGATAACATTTTTAATATCGATTCTAAAAATGAAATTCTTTAAAACAAAAACGTTACAAATTAAGTGACATTTAGCTCGTTGTATTCTGAGTGATGGTTCTGAAATAGAATTTGAATTTTTCAAACATTTTTAAAAAATGAAGATAAAATCAAAACATTTAAAAAAAAATGAAGATAAAATCAAATTTTAATGTTCAAAAGAAATAAACTTGTTTAGCGTCTTGATTTTATAAATCGATTTAAATTTTTTCTGTTTAATTAAACTATCAAGTTCACTATTATCTCTAAACCTCCGTGGCAATTTTTTTTTTTTTTTGATTTGGTTCAACTATTTGAACTTTATTTAAATTAGTATTTAAAACATAGATTTTTGTGCTGCACATAAAAGCGTTAATAAAGCATAAATAATGATACATAAAAGGTCATACTTAAATTTCGGTCTTATAAACAAGAACCTTCCTCGGTGTTTTAACACTAAATGACCAATATTTTCATTTGTGTTTAGATGTGTGAGGAAGGTTCTTGTTTACAGACTATAGTATGTTCATTCTCGCACTTTTATTTTTGCTATTTTAACATATCTTTCAAATATTTTACTCTTTTAAAATAATTTAACTTTTTATTCTTCAAAGTATAAATTTCACTGCTATAAGTTACCATAGGTCTAATAAATTTAATTTCTTTAGAAATGTGTTTAATCCTTTAATTAAGTATTTTATTTTATAACTGGTTTAGAATGACCGATTCAATTCTCAGTTTACAACCATAAATGTTCAAGTCCGTAGGTTTGAAATTTTGAACAAAGCCCAGAAGACAAGTGAACTCTTAGATTTAGCATTAGGAGAAAATACTCATTGCGGATGACTTCTTGATGGAATTAACACACATTTGCATTACATTGAAAGGAAAACTAAAAAATATTTAAGAATGAAAACTACAAAAATGATACATAAAAGGAAGAATGCATTTATTTCCTCTTTGTATTATCAAATTAATGTCTTCAGAAAAACTAAACAATTATCATTGGTTTTTTTGAGCCAAGGTAAATGAAATTCTTTCAACATTGAACTTTTCTACAGCAAGTGAGGATAAATTTTAATTGGTGGACTTAGTTCGTTTCATGTGTATAATAATTTATCTGCTCATTGTTAATTGCTGTATTTCTGGTTTAAGAAAGCAACACTAAACAAAATTTTCATAAAGCATGATCAAACAAAATTTTTTGCAAATTACGGATTTTTTTTCTCCCAAAACAGAAAATAGTTGCTTCTTAGAGAAAATTACAAATTTCTGCTAAGAACTGTTTTCGAAGTGTCAATTTATTATTCAATTCAGAATTTAAAAAAAAAAAATTTCAGGACATGGTAAGTAACCAAGCTAACCGAGAAGTTCTCTATCTTCAGTTTCTTAATAAATTTCATTTCAACCGAGGAACGTAAGGGAAGAACTCTGGAGCAGTATTCAAATTCTGTACTTCATTTGATGAATTGACGTCATTTAATGAATTTGTACCATTCCTAAACACTGCTAATAAAAAAAATTCTTGCCTCAAACAGCCTGAGTTAGTCCACCTTTTTTCCTATCTTTTTCAGACAGTTTGCAATTTTTAAGGAATCTTAGAATTTTCCAACCATTCTTTGTGTAGCTTGAAGAATAAGAAAAAAACTGGTTTGTTCCAAGCAAATTTTTACTTACGAGTATTGTTGTTCTTTTTTCTTTTTCCTTGTTGATAACTTTTTCATCAATTTTATATTCAGATAGAGGCCATGTGTTTTCAGGTAATTTCAACCAGGAAGAACCTTCCCACCACCTTTGAACTCAATAATTTTGTTACCGAGCAGCCGCGTGATGGTAGATCGGCTGGATTAGAGTGACCGGGAACGTGTCGCCAATTTCCTAATGAAAGAGCACGGATTTCTTTTACTCTATTTCTGACAAACACACTCCATGGCTCATCTTTCTGGATCCATTGTAAAGCAGTTGTAGAATTGGACCAATAATGAATTTTGACATTTTCTATTTCTAAGCTTTTCTTAACGAAATCTGCTAGACGAGTACCAATGCAACAGCTTAGAAGTTCAAGTCTAGGAAAAGATATTCTTTTTAAAGGTGCTATTCTTGATTTAGCAAGTAACAATTGTACTTTTGTTTGATATTCTGTCTCACATCTAATGAAAACAACAGCTGCATATGACAGACCACTAGCGTCGCAAAATACATGAAGACTTAAGCTACTATTTCTCAGAATAGCGTGACGGGGAATTTTCACTGTATGCAGTATATTCAGATCTTCCAACCATTTGAGAAATTTCTTTTTTATAACCTCAGAAACATTTGAATCCCAACCTAATTTATTTTTGCTTGATTATCTTACAAGTTCCATTCCTCTTGTTACTTGAAAAATATTCATTAAACATAGTACAACCAGAAACTGTCTTCAGTAAGAACAACTCAATTATAATTAAAACTGTATTTTTGTGATTTATCATCGCACGAGGCTTCTTTTGAATTAACAAAATTGTGATTACTTAAATTAGATTTCTGAGTGAAAAACTTATAAAAACATTTGTAATACTAATTCAATACTAAACAATATAATCTACAGTTAAACTCATATTGATTGCAAAGGATTTTTCACACACATCACAATAATAACTCATTTATCCAATATGAACAAGAACGTATTCTTTTAAAAGAATTTTCTATGAAAATGTTTTATAGCACATACTGCATGAATAAGGTTACTTTCTAACTTATATGAACACCCACAAAAAATACATCACTCATTTATCCAATATGAACAAGAAAATAATTTTGTAGGTTGTTTATCGAAGGCTTCGTCGTAATATAAAATTATGCTTTTTTTGCGAATAATCTGCCATTTTTATAGCTGCTGTGAGTTTGCAACTACTACTTCTGACTATTAGGTGAAGTTTAGCCTATCTAAAGCCTGTGTTGTCTACGCTTATTTTGAAAATGTCGCAAAACATCAATATGGAGAAAAGCCACAGTTTTGTGAAAATGAAAAACATTTGTAGTCTAATGTTTCAATATTTAAAAACTTACTCCAATGCTGCATTACCTGGGCTCATAAAAATTTGCAAAAACTGAGAATAAGGCAGCGATTTAGGTAATTTTTCATGGAAAAATATTGCCAGATTGGCAATTTTTAAAATTTTTTATTAACTTTTAAAATATTTAAATTATTTGTCTGTTCTAATGCTATGAGAATTCATCCTGGCAAGATTATATAATCTAGTTTAAAATCATCAGATTGCTTCAAGTATAAGGCACTTAAACTATGGCTTTATTTTTCTTGGCAATAGAGTTATTGGCAACATTATGCAGAAAGAGTTTATGTACTTAAAAAATTTATGTCAATTTACTTACAGATTACAGAATAATACTTTGTAAAAATTTATTATAAGCAATTAAGGAAAATTTCAAACAATTATAAAAAAAAATTCAAATTAATAAATAAAATAAAAATGCATGAACAAAGTTTTTCTTTCTTTAAAATGGATTTACGTGAGAAAGATTTCTTGCACAAACTGTATGAACGAGGTTTTTTCTAAAGTATGAATATCAGTGTATCATTAACTGACATTTTAACGAGAAGCTGCAGGTATAAGTATAATCTGCAGTATGTCAGAACAACAGAATGTTTATTCAGCTATATTCGAATGAGAAAGATTAATCACACGAGAATAGAGTTTTTCCCAAAATGAAGAAAATATTGTTTACATAAATTAAATTTCTGAGTGAAAGATTTATTTCACACACTGCATGAATACGCTTTCTCTCCAACATTAATAAGAGTGTTTATTTAAACTAAATTTATGCAAGAAAGATTTATTACACATACTGCATGAATAAAGTTTCTCTCAAGTTTTGAACAACAGAGTGTATCTATAACTAAAATTTCAATGCTCAAATATTTTATCGCAAACACAATCTGGCTAAGGTTTCTCTCTAGTGTGAACAAGGTAGTGTACCTTCAAATGAGATTTGGATGAGAAACTTTTAACACACAGGCTGCATGAATAAGGTTTCTCTCGAGTATGAACAACAGAGTGTACCTTTAACTGAAATTTCAATGAGAAAGTTTTATCGCACACTGCATGAATAAGGTTTCTCTCCTGTATGAACAAAGAAATGTCTAGATAAACTTGGTTGCTGCGTGAACGATTGATCACACACACTACATGAATAAAGTTTTTCTTCGGTATGAAGAAGAGAGTGTTGATTTAAGTTATATTTTTGTGCAAAAGATTGATTACACACACTGCAAGAATAGGGTTTCTGCCCAGTGTGAACAAGAGAATGTTTTTTTAATGAAGATTTACGCCTGAAGAATTTATTGCAGACACTGCACGAATAGGGTTTCTCTCCAGTATGAATAATGCAGTGTATCTTTAAATAAGACTTCAATGAGAAAGTTTTATTGCACACACTGCATGAATAAGGTTTCTCACCAGTATGAACTAGGGAATGTCTATACAAGCTATATTTATGTGCGAATGACAGATTACACACACTACACGAATAAAGTTTCTCTCCAGTGTGAACAAGAGAGTGCTGATTTAAATGACTTTTCTGTGTAAAAGATTGTTTACACACACTGCATGAATAGGGTTTCTGTCCTGTATGAATAAGAGAGTGTTGTTTTAAAGAAGATATATGTGCGAAAGTTTTATTGCACACACTACATGAATAAGGCGTCTCTCCAGTATGAACAACAGAGTGTATCTTTAACTGACATTTCGATGAAAAAGTTTTATCGCACACACTGCATGAATAAGCTTTCTCTCTAGTATGAACAAGGGCATGCCTATATAAACTAGATTTATGAGTGAATGACTGATCACACACATTACATGAATAAACTTTCTCCCCAGTATGAACAAGAGAGTGTTGATTTAAATAACATTTATGTGTGAAAGATTTATGGCACACACTGCATGTATACGGTTTCTGTCTAGTATAAATAAGAGAGTGCTTTTTTAACGAAGATTTTTGTGTGAAAGATTTTTTACACACACTGCATGAATAAGGTTTCTCTGGAGTATGAACATCACGGTGTACCGGTAACTGAGATTTCGATGAGAAAGTTTTATCACACATGTTGAATTTTATCACAACTTTATTTCAGTGAAGATATATATATATATATTTTTTTAATTTCTCTCTATGATAAAAATTGATTGCACTCTCTCAGTTACTCCGCATGGAGTAGTTTTCCGCATGAACGTATTTTTGCTTGATTGACAGGAGAGAACATAGTAATAATTCAAACTTTCTTGGCTTCAGCATGGCGAAAGGCAAGGGATTAACTTAAAATTTTATTGACTACCTCAGTAAGTAGAAATGAGGAATATTTCCGTACCGTTACGGAAATCACCCCTAGAAATCCTTTATTCAACAAATGTTAGCATCAGTCAGGAACCAAAATCACATATTAAGAATCATTTAAACAGCGCAAATTATTAGTTCATTATGTCAAGAGCACAGACATAAAAATAATAAGTTTCTCAGAGTGTTTGTTATTGTTTTTCGATTTCCGTTTCCGGCTATTCCTAGAGCGTTTAACACTTTCTTGTTCTGCCCACCGTTCGAATGCATAAACTATTTATTTTTTTACGTATTTTTTATTTATTTATTTTTTTGCATATTTTCCAACTGACCTTGTCTCACTTGGATCAGTCTGCATAGGGACCGAGGGTGTGCGGTATTGGTCCTCGTTAAACTGTGCTACCGTAAAGTGCTCGACTTCGCGCGCAGGTCGTCGGGCTACCGAGGCGGGGGTGCCATCCCTTCCGCAGAGGATCAAAATTGTGATGGCAAATTTTCGGATCATCCTCCGGGATGTTTCCCAGACCATCGCCAATAGCCTATTGTGCAGCTCTAGTGCGACGTAAATTAACAATAACATCAACCAACTGACCTTGTTAATTTTAATTTTTCTAAATCGGATAGTTTTTGTGATACAAAATGAAAAGTTAGGTGAAAGAAGGTGAAAAATTATTTTTATATGTATTTATAAAATTTAATTCCTGTTTCTCTAATGTAAAACTAAATAAATGCATATGTTTGATGCGCAATTGAAATAAAGTTAATAAAATTTACTATTATATATTAATTTCTTCTTTATTTCATTTGACTAAATTTTTTTTATAAAGAATGAATTGAAAGTTTTGCTGGGATCACAATCTTTTAAAAAGGTTACTGCTATGCTGACGATAATACCCTGCATTAAATTCAAGTTAGAATAAATAAATAAAAAAATAAATTACTTGAGTTTTTCTACATTTTTAAAATCTAATGCTATTCAATATAAAAATTCATTCAACCTTTTTTTACACTTAGCATAAAAATAATTACAATTAGGCCTTAAAACTAAGATTACCACGGTTGAAAAAAATGAAAGTATAAAATTATTTTGTATTTATAACGCATCATTTTACTAAGTAATATCAGACATTCATAACTCATTCTGACCCCTCTTTATTCGCGATCGCAATGCTCGAGTACGCCGTCTAGCGGGAGCCTGTAAATATCGGACATTAATTTATCACGTTTTCATTTAGTTCCATCAAAGTCATTGACTGAATCAGACGCCATTTTTTAGCAGCAAATAAGAAACAAAATTTCCCTAAGGAAAAGGCCGAAGAACTTGAAAAAAATCTCCAGAATATTAGTAAATCTTTCAGGAACAGAACACGCCAAACATTTGAAGAAAAATTCCTCAATAATTTTTAATTTCTATTATCAACAAACTTGCAACTGATGACTTCCGATTTCGGATACTGTTACAGATGTGTGTATTAAGGTAAAATGCATTTCTTCTGTCTTCAATTCATTACGAATTAAAGTGAAGTCAACATTGCTTTCGTCATTCCAGTGAATAAATATGAATTCAGAACATACAGAATTGTAATAGTTATAGCATATTCTTCTTCGTTATAGAATAGTATATATTTCTGTATCCATATAATTCGGAAAACAACAATAAAAAATTATCCAAGTTACTTGAAATAGTGCCATTTGTGCTGATTCTTAATTAATTTAAATCGTTTTCTTGGTAAGTTTTTTTTAATTTTGAAAGAATAAGTTCAACTAGAATTCAGCTATTCTGTTTTTAGCTACATATTCAAATTCATATCAATTATAAAATTTTGCTGTGTAGTATGTTATCTAAAAGTAATGAAGGTATAAACTATGTATCTATTATTTGAGAATAAAGTTTTCAAACAAGGAACTTATCATTTTGGAATTCTCCGGGAATCATAAATCAGGTAAGTGCAATGATTTTTACAATAAAAAATTTGCTTGTAAATATTTTTTTTTCATTTGATGATGGTTCTCTACAGAATGGTTTTTTACGTCTGATTAAGAACTATAAGAATAATAAAAAAAGAAACAATATGAAAGTTTTTATTTCAATGTTAATAATTCTTAAAATCGTTTTTTTTATCCTAAGAATTCTTTATTTTCCGTTTTTTAGTTTATAATTTTTTGATAAAAATTGTTCTCAAAATACTTTTGAAAAATTAAATGGTATAACATTATGTGTTTATGTATACTTCTTGTATATTCCAATGTTTGAAATAATATGATTCAGAAAAGTATGGAATAAAAATTCGGTACTTACGACGTATTAACGCCACCGCCGCTACAGATTTGGCGGTTTTTAAGTGCCGCCAATCTACACTTAAAATTTTTGCGACAGTTCATAAAATAAAACACTTTATTTAAAATCAAAATAGTTAATTGGATTTCGGTGGAAAATGAGCCGATATAGAGTTTAGCATAGATTCAAAACAATCATATCGCCATATGAACTCTGATGAATAAGATTCCAAATGAAATAACATTTCCAAAACGTACGTTTGCCAAGATAAAGTTTTATGTTGTGGGAATTGGTACATTTTCGTTTTTTCGGTAAAATATTTCCCTCCTGAAAAAATAAAATTGCATCTTGTTTTGTTTTTGGCAAATCCCAAAGACGAATATTCGTAGCACTAAAAATGGCGACAAAAAAGAATTGTTTTTTTTTGTTTTTTTTTCGTCAGCATTCTTTATTTTACGTTTCTTAGTTTCTAAATAATGATTTTTATTGAAACTTGAAATTTTTTGATAAAAATTGTTGTCAAAAAACGTTGTTTACAAAATTAAATTTCATAAAATTATGAGGCTTATGTATACTTTTTGTTCATTTTAATTTTTGAACTAATATGATTCTTAAAACTATAGAATGTAAAGTTTAAATGGGCCTTTCATGTTATATCATTAAATTTAGTAATACTATTTCTCGGGCATTAGGTTTTAACTCTTATAAGAATATACATATTTTTTTCTGTTAATGTACAAATATTTTTCCGATGTGTTTTGGATATTCCTTCTCTAATAAAAAGAGATACCATTTTGTTTTCGGTTGTACAAGAAAGAAGATCAAGCATTTTTCTTTTTTAAATTTAATAAGCCACATTAAAGAAGGAACGTTGCAATGCTACACGCTACATTAACGACGTCTCCAGAGTAACTGAATGACGGTTCATATAGAAATCGCAGGTATGCGTCTCATACAACAACGCCCCCTATAGTTCGTTGCGATCGCGAATACTGAACTAAAAAATCTTTGATGTTCAGAACCATTAACTATTAACAATGTTTAAATGAGTACCATATAAATTATTATATGTTTTTATTAGTAAAAAATATTATAAAAATACATTATTTTTCAGCCACATTTTTACCCACATTAGGGCACAATTTTAATAAATGCTGATCTTTGTTCTCACATAGTTACTTACCATTTAAAATTGTTAGATTTAATTACGAAAATTCAAACGAACGCAAAAGCGTAAGGTTTTCACAGCACGGCAATTGTGAAAGGACAGCAGATGGACACGTGAATAATCGCTTCCCGTTTTAGATGAAAACGAAAGTAAGAGTTTTTTGCTTCAAAATAACTTAATAATTATTTTTCTTAGAAAACTATAATGAAATATTCTCCGTTGGTGGTTCTGAGGGATTCTGAATGCATTAAGATTTGTAATTGTCCATTATAAAATTCATTTATCCATGCATCCATACAATGGTGTTTTCCACACTAAGGAACGCTGCAATCTCGGTACCGCCTATATTTCCGGGTTACTGTTTCCGTTGTATTTTAAAGCCATTTGGTATAGTTGTGTTTGGAGATTCTTGCAAACAATGTATTTGATTACTTATTACTTGTGTTTACAATGCTAACAATACTTGTGTTTACGATGCTAAAAAGTGTTAACACTAACGTAAGATGGTGCACAGCTTGCAACAAGAACAAACAGTAATAAACTTATAGAAAGAGGCTAAATTAAGACTGCCAAAAAAGCGAGTTATTCAAAATCTAGCAACCATGTCACCTTTTTTAATAATAAATAACAAAATAACTAAAAAATTTTTTCACTCCAAACTCCCCAGAATTACATAATAACATTAATATCTTATGAAATACGGCAGATTTGAGCTCAGAAATCATTTAATTAATTTTTTTTATTGAAAACAAAATTATCCGTTAGAAAACATCGCCTATCAGAATAACATGTAGTAAGCAGCTGCAAACTTTTTAACCGGAACTAGAGTAGGTGCCGAGCTCGAGATTGTTATTGTTTACATTTCTACTGAAAACACCATCCATTAGTAAATTTATTATTATTTTATTTAATAAAAGTGAAACAATTTTGAATTGTGTTAAATAAAAAATTTTACATAATTTTAAAGAGTGTTATTTTAAGTGGCAAAATAGAAAATTTGAGCGAAATCTGTCGAATATTTCCTAAGAAATAAAATTTAAAAAAATTGTTTATTTAAAATTCGATTTCTCAGGAAGTATTTGATCAATTTCGCTCAATTTTTGTATTTTTCCCTTTAAAATTGCATACTTTTAAATGATGTAAGAAACTGCTCTTCTCACAACTGAATTTTTTTCTTGACTTACATTAATTAAAATAGTAAAAAAATGTGGTGGACCGTAACTTCAAAAACTTCCAACAGATGGCGTCACTAGTTCTAAGAAAAAAACATTATTTTATTTACTCATTCTATTTTTTTACACATTCTGTTTATTCATATATTCGAGCTCTAGAATTGCTAATTTCGAGTTGTCAGTTGTATTTTTTTATTGTTATCTTTTTATATTATTGTTATTAAAAAAATGGTTTAAATTAAGTTTTTTTTATTGTTCCAATAATTAAAGCACGCAACTTTAATTATGTTTTAAATAATTCCCATTTGGTGTTCGATCTAGAACAGGGGTTTCCAACTTACATGAGGCCGGGGACCACAATTAAAAACACAAATCAAATGGCGGGCCGCAACTTTATCAAAATTTTATTTTGGACTCTTTTATGTTTGAAGGAATATTAATATTACTGTCAGATTTTTACCAAGTTGTTCAAAACAAAAGTATTGAATTACAAATTAAAATAAGAAGTAGATTTTTAAAAATATTTAATTGCATATTAAAAAATTCGGGTTACAATAACTTTAATGTGCACTCATGTATTAAAAAATTAATGCGTAACATTTATCTAATTAAAATATAAAACTTTAAAAAGGTTGGTATTAAAACTTACACTGTAACACACAAAAT